CCTTCGTCAACTGTACTGGTCCATTCATCTCGAACGAGAAGCAGGTTCGTGGTGCAGGATCGCTTTTGCCTAAACCCGTGTTGAGCTGTCGAGAGAATGCTGTATCTTTCGATATGTTCCATCAGAGAATCGGCCACAATTGACTCCATGACCTTCGACAACACCGGAAGCAGGGTCACAGGTCTATAGTTAGCGGGGTCACTACGACAACCACCTTTGTATATGAAAGAAATGACTCCTTGTTTCCATGATTCGGGGAGTGTTGCTTTGTCGAACATTCGTTGAAACAGAATAGCTAGCGGCTCGGATATGTGATTTGCCAAAAAGATCCGAGATTTCGGGTGTATGTTGTCCGCACCTGAAGTTGCGTTTTTACGCAAAGCCATTAGTTTTGCTTTGACGTTTTCAGCAGTAAATGATACGTAGGTGAGTGAAGGATGTGGAAGATGATGCAACCGTTGGGGTAGTTATAAACCTTCAACCTGCTCTGCTGCGAATACGTTGGAATAATGAATTTTCAGCATTTCCGCTGCTTCCATTGGAGTAGCTGCAACTCTTCCAGCGCTACTAAGTACCGGTATACCAAACTTTACTTTCCGAATGGAGTTGACGTGTTGATACAACATATTAGGGTTAGAAATGAATTTTTGTGCTAGCACCTCTTGGTATTTCACTTTATCCTCACGAATCAGTTTGGTGCAGTGGTTCCTCAGCATACGGTAATTATGCCATGTGCCAGCATTCGAAAGATGATTATAATCTCGCCAGGCTAAATCCCTCGCCGATAGCCATTTTCTTGTGCGGCTTCGAATAGGTGAATTTCGGATGCCGGATTTGGTGATTAGTTTTAGTCACGGATGTTATTCTATTTGTGAGATTTTCAGTAAATTTCTTCCATGCAACCAACGGATTAGCTTCTTCGTTATAAGAAACCCACTGAGCAGAGAGCGCCAAGTTATTCAACAGTGTGTAGTCTATAGATCTGCGCGTGTTGGCAGAGGAACTTCCTTGAATCGATGTGTAACAGACGTATTTGAATGTAGGTGATAAGTCGCATGAGGTGTAAATTTGATAGCCGCCACAATCCAACGTTCATTCATAATAGTCGGAGACCCGGGCCCTGAGGCTTGAAATGGTTATTCGTATAAGGCTCCTCTGGGACACGGAACCAGTATGGGTTTTGAGTGTATAAATTTCTCTCTGTGCTGAAATTCGTTCTAACTTTTCTGGAACCGCATTGTTTCCAATTCCTTGAATCTAGAATAGAATAGAGGTAACCTATAGGTAACCGATAATCTGCATAGATTCTTCATACTAGGTTTGAGAGAATCAGCTACCAGTACGCTTTGATAAATAGATAGATAGATAGATAGATAGATAGATAGATAGATAGATAGATAGATAGATAGATAGTAGATAGATAGATAGATAGATAGATAGATAGATAGATAGATAGATAGATAGATAGATAGATAGATAGATAGATAGATAGATAGATAGATAGATAGATAGATAGATAGATAGATAGATAGATAGATAGGCGAACACGCAACACCTTTGAGTCAAGCCGTATGCGCAGTCAGTAAGCAGTGAATATAGAGTTTACCTTTTTTATACAACATCAAGTTCACTTTAGATTATCAATTGAAACTGCCGAAAAAGATATAAATGCAAAAATAATGCTTTCCTTTAGAAGCTGCTATCACATACATGTATTCAGATTGTTTCCGGGCGATAATTCATCAAAATTAGATTCTCTTATTGCACTCCGTCCGGCATCGATACAGTTCATGGGTAAGTTGATCAGCAATGAATGCCGATAACATCAACGACAAACAGCTGTATTGCATACGCTCAACTAAGGATATCTGACTAACAAGACACTAACAGTGTATACTAAGCTCTTCAGATGTTTTTATTTTTTGCTATTCTTTTGTTTACATCAACAAATCTTAGTAAAGTGGTGTAAGTCCTCTAAAATTATTATTTGTTTTTTGTTAGACATATGCAATGTGTATGGGAAGATGCGATCTATTGTGAAAAATTGCTACGCAACCTATGACATATTCACACAAGACGAACAATCCTACGGAGTCGGTTGGGTTCCGTTTGAAGGGACGAACAAAAAGAATAATTCCAGTCCCGAATTTGCGTACACCAATCAGCATGATTTGGACGGAATTCCCTTTAAGGGTGAGGTGACGTGGTATTCCGGTGGTGGTTATGTTTTCATGTTACGTGGCACGGAAGCTTCCATGCTGGACCGATTCAACTATCTGGATGAGAATCATTGGATTGACTTCAGCACCAGAGCTATTATTGTTCAATTTACGACGTTCAATCCGAACATCAACCTGTTCGCCATCATTACAGCGCTGATTGAGAAACCGGGGGTCGGATCACTGATCACCTCTTATCGGATTGAAACGGCTAATCTTTTCGGTTCAGCCGCTACCGAGGCTGGAAAGTTGGAAATGGCGTTCCAGGTGAGTGATTGAGTGAATCGGTCTTAACTCGAAGTCACCTTGTCGATGACGATTGGCCTCGATTTGACTTGGGTTTTAATCATGGAGGAAAACATGACAGAACACAAGCTAGTACATTGAGCGACTTGAATTCCACAAGGTCGTTACCAAAAGAGAGGATAACTCCCCATCATGTATAAGGTCAACTATATTTTCTCATTCTGAATTATAATTTTATTTTTGCACCGCAGAGACCTGAGGATGTGAGGAAATGTCCGGCCATACAACGTGAATTTATCGCTTGGTCCTGATAAAATCGCAGAAGAATACGAAAACCCATGAAGCCATTTTCTATCATATGACTAGAAGTGCCATTACCAATTAATGGTTAAATATAGTTAATTTGGCAACTGTAAAGAGGCATTCTAATACAAGAAAATTCGAGAATCTTGGCTGTCTTGGGGAGGTTCGAATCTACTCATAAGCACCACCTACACCGTTGTACTCCTTCAGCAACGAAACCAAGCCGAAAGTTCTGATTACTTGATATTTAATCATCCACTTCGCTCCAAGCGGAAGATGAACATAGATATTTATATGTATGCTGGCTGTCATGACAGATTGTTGATAGAACCAAATAGATCCCACTAATACCTTCTACGGCATATTTCTAAACACCTGGATCAGGATAAATTTTTCGGATCGCCTGCATGTATTTCCCCTTTCATTCGGCAGATCGCGTTTGTGTTGGTCTTGGTCGGATATGTGATCAAGGAACTTCGAAATATTTATCGCCAGCGTTGCACTTATTTCAAGATGTTTTGGAGCTATATGGAATGGTTCATTCTAATTGGGTCTTTTGCCTCGATCGCCGCATACGTGTACATGATTGTGGCCACAAAGGATGCGATTGACGAATTCTCACGCACTCACGGGAACGTGTTCATGAATTTCCAATTCCTGGCCTACTGGAATGAGGCGCTGACCTATTTAACTGCCCTGGTCTGTTTCGCCTCAACTCTCAAACTGGTTCGTCTGTTTCGGTTCAATCAGCGCATCGGACTTTTGGGATCGGTGTTGAGTTACGCTTCAAAAGACATGAAATACTTCATGATTGTATTTCTGGTCATGTTTTCCGCATTTGTCCTTGTGTTCTATCTGTTGTACACTGACACCCTGGAAGGATTTCGCAGTATTCTTGGATCGACCGAGACCTGTATGCAAATAATTTTGGGCAAATTTGATTTCACTAGCATGTACGAGCGTGAGATGGTACTCGGTCCGATGCTGTTTGCCTTGTTCAACCTGTGCGTGATTTTCGTCATGGTCAGTATGTTTGTGGCGATTCTGGATGATAGTTTTCATCGAGTCCTGGAAGATTTGAAGCTGCAATCGGACGAGCACGAGATCACTCAGTTTATATTCTCTCAGTTGATCCAGTGGACTGGACTCAGTCGAACAAATTGGGGCAAGCGTTTGGTTGCCGATGCACAGGGAGTCATTGAACCGACATACATGGAAGACTCCGAACGTGAGCTGAATATGAAGTTGAATGAACTCACCCAGATGATGGACGAATTCCTATCCTATGTGCAGATTAATCAGCTCGCGGGAACAAAATAGGGAATTGAAGCGCGAGTAAGAAAGAAAGCGATACCGAGAAGAAAAGGAATACCGCATTCCTTTTGATCATTTTTACCCCATGAACGCACAAAAAATACTATCATCGATATATTCCTATACAACGTTCTGCTATAACTCATTCGATCATTATTTTTCAATTCCTCGGAAATCTCTCTCGATAATCGGCAGTTATTATTCTCCGTTCTTTTCACTCGTCGTTGGTGATGCGCATAATCAAGCCTATGTCAGTTCGTTTAATTTATCCTTTCATTCTTGTTATTGTGAACATTTGTGTGTGGTACTTTTTTTCAAGATTCTCTCATCATGCATCTTTGATAAAATTGTTTGATTCCATCCATTTGGCTTTTGGTTGGTGAGGTTGGCTTCACTCGTATCCAAATTCAAATCTGTCCGGTCTGAATAATTTTGTCGTAGAAGTTGCCCACCACCGCCAGAAACTACAGCACCTACGAACTAATCGGCATTCTGATGGCATAGTGATCTAATCGGGGACAAAAATGATATCAACAGTTTTATGAACCTCGAGTTACTCGTAAAGGCGCCGGAGGATTTGACTGAATTCAATACTGATCTCGCTTCAAGCTTATAGCGGATTTCGTCACAACTGACATAAGCATGAGTATATTATTGAAATCATAAGACCTTCGTTCGCCTGGTAAGCTTATTATGATGTTCCAACTCTCGTACAGTGTCTCTTTAGTTGCTCCCAGGTAAATGTTGTATTGTGTTGTATTTCAACCAAATTAGTTATTCTACCCTTACGTTAGGACTGCGTTTATTCAAACGACGTGTCCAAACTGATATTCAGGTCTTAGTTCAGTGACATAAGTTTGATTTGAGAGTATTTAATGATTTAGTGACCGACTTTTCCAATATAAAATGTTCAAAATTTAACGGCCGGAGGAGAAAAAATATGAAATGTTGGACATGGTATCGAATGGTTGTAGCTCGGATGAAGAGGTTGATGTTGGAGGGTCCTCTGGGGCAAAAATGTTGTTTTCAGACGTTTTGCATTTTCACTAACCTTATCAGGACGAAGTCAACAACGCACCAATACACGGAAGAACAAAGCTCATATGGTTCGGTTCGAAGGTCACGACTGGCTACTTACCATTTTCGAATTCTGTTTACCCGTTTTGGTTTGTTTGGTCTGTCCGTTGCAACACTGATGTGCTGTTTATCCTGTTACAATAAAACGATTTACGTCGGCTTTAAAAAATTTAGGGTTGACCCAAGACAGTAAAACTGACCATTAGAAAAAGATGTGTCACCAGGGTCACAGACTAGCCAATTAAATAAGATGGAGCAGACGAAATCGGCAAATGGGATTGATGGGACACAAGCAGCCAATCACAAGCGCCTAACCTGATCACACTGTGAATTGGCCTTTTGGTGAAGTTGCACAGATGACGTAATCCAGCGTTGCTGCTTAACATCATCTGTAAAACAACGTCCCCTGCTTCGATAACTCTCTAACATCAACAATGCGAATCTTTTGTCTCTGCTCCAGGTCCATATGTAGTCGTATAACCGTTTTGTAAACCTTGAACCGATTCAGTTTGTCCGATGGATAAAGCCTCCTATATCCAGATCTGCAACTGCTTTTGGTGCTCAGTCGGGTGTGAGTTCAATCATTCTCGCACTAGACGTTTTATCGGTTCTGACGATGTAGGCTTTCGTGCTAGAGAAGGTTTAAATGCAAAGCGAGAAAGAATCCATAGAAATGTAATTTTTTAATGGTCATGTGTGGAGACTTCGCTTGATTGGACAGAAGTGTAATATCGAGGTATCCCTAAGAGGCGTCTGTGACTTGCCGCATGGTCAACAACATTATTCGATCTCTGCTCTGTGTGTTGAAAAGTTAAATAGATGTTTTGGGAACCAAGATAAGAGATGAGGAACATTTTCTCACTATATGGCTACTAAAACGATTGTTGACTAGCCTACAAAATAAGACCACCCTTTCACCCCAATAGTGCTCCCGATATAAATTTGTTTAGCCCTGAGGAGCAATGTCAGACCCACTTCTTCATTTATTACGTGAAAAAATATTGATTTGTATGTACTGTCCAGACCATGTCTGCTTGCAGAACACTGATCCATCCGGTTGTCAGTTTACAAGAACACCGAGGTAAGACAATCACTGAGAGCGAATCGTTAGTTCAAGAGGACTTCAATATACCCCCTGAATGGGTGTTCAGCTTCTTCATTGCCATCCTCAATACTAAATTCATGATCAATATATCTCATATATATCAAAACAAACGTCTGACGCGTACAGTGAAACGGACCTACAACGCAGCTCGTTTATCGTGTGTTCACAGGCTCGCCCTTCATCCGAACTAGCCACAAAGATAGACTGCCTACGCTGGCCACTTCCATAGTTATCTACTCTTTCCGGTGCGTTTGTAATGCAACGTACATTGGCCGCACGGCGAGGCAACTATCCCAACGGATGAAGGAGCACTGTCCACGTTGGTTAAAACAAGGAGGAACAGGAAGCATAGGAAGTGCCATTCTTGGTCATCTAGTAGATACAGGTCATCAAATTAGACCGGAATCGGCTTTCAACGTAATCTATTGTGTGCCCCTCAACCCCTCCAAAGCAGTGCGCTTACATACACTAGCCACCGCTGAGGTGATAGGCATTCGCCTATTCGCACCAGAACTATGTGCACAAAAGCGACTGGTTCAAGCTCTCCACTTACCCTGGCCCCAAATGGATCATCAACATCACCATCATCACCACCACCACTCCAATCACAATCAGTCTCACCCGAACACAGACACATAGAGCTTACCTCTCCCCTCTCCTCTCCTCATCCCAAATGACCCTTTGACCCAGCGTGAAAATGTGTCTCCACTAGCAACAAACCCTTATATGATCTGTCCAGGCACGATTAAATATAATTATTCTAAAAATATGCCCTCTATTGTGCCTTGTTTC